TTTTCTCACATATATTATCTATCATCCCACTTAGCTATTTAAATTAACATGTTAGCATTAGAAAATTTTATCAGAATTACACTTAGTTTTGGAAATCACTAAAAAAGAAGTCTACATTTTGATTATATAATACTTTTGTTTTGACCAGCTCTGGTGTCGATATGGAGTATCAAAAATATCACGGTGTAGCTACAAAAAAATGAGGCCAAATGGGCTCCATCTAGTGGTTGCACAGAACTGATGCAACCTCATTTGACAGGTGTGTTCAGGGCAAAGGTTGACAACTCAGATGCTCACAGGAGCCAGACAGATAACACAAATGACAGAAGTGAGTGAGAGAAAAATCAACTGATGCATATATCAATTTGTAGTTTGGAATTATGGTGTAAATATACAATATAAAATGAACATACTTAGGATCTAGAGGAATACATTTTAAATATGGTAGAAAGAAAATGTAAGCTCTCTCATTGCTTGATTGGGTTTAGTTGAACATTATTTTTATTCAACAGTAGGCACCATCTTATTTACTTTCTTGTTTGTTGAATAAAATGTTGAACAACAAAAACAAAGGAGTAGAGCTTTAGTTTGGCCTACATTTTCAGTCCTTGTTTGGATGGCTCCAATGCAGAAGCAGCATGGCGCATGGTCCTGGATGGAGCACAGTTGCTCATTCTGTAGCAGCCAGGAGGCAGAATAAGGGAAGAGGCAGAGAAAAAAGTCTACTTTTTTAGTTAGTATTCTCAGGGAATCATCTACAACCAGGCATCCCCACCTAAAGCATATTCAGCTACTGAACTTGTGAATGAATGAATTCACTAATGAGTATAGAGCCCCCATGATCCAATTATCTTCCACATGAGAATCTCAGGGAGGGCATTTTAGATCTAAACTATAGCATTCTGTCCCTGGCCCCTAAATCTTATGTCTTTCTCTTTATGCAAAATGTGTTGGTCCGACTCTAAGAGTCACCAAAGTTTTAACAGTTCCTACTTGTTGAAAAGTCTAAATTCAGTCTTCTCTAAGATTCAAGGAAAATTCTTAGCAGTGAGCCCCTATGAAAATAATAAAGAAAATTGTGTACTTCCAACACACAGTGGCACAGGGTAAACATTCCCATTCTGAAAGAGAGAAATAGTCGAATAGAAAATAAGGGAACCAAAGTGAAACTGAAACCCATCAGGGCAAATATTAAATCCTGCAGCCTATGCCCAATACCCAGAGCAGGTTATGATAAGATGTGAGCTCCAGAGGGCGTGGGCAGCCCTGCTCCTACTGCATTGCCAGTTGTAGCTCTCATGGACTCTCTTTTGTGGTGGCTGTGCTCATTGTGTGCAGCATTCCTCTGCAAATATTCCATGCTCCTGCACCCTCATCTTTCTGGAGTCTCCAGTACACTTTCAGCTTGACTCTTATAGCATCATGCATTGCTTTCTCAGGGGCACACTGCCTGGCCTCTGATAACTTCTGGAATCTGAGTGGAAGCCTTTCTCATTCCATAACTCTTATGTTTTGTGTGCCTGTAACATCAGCAGTACATGGCTGATACCAACATTTTCTGCTTGCTCAAAGAGTAGCCTGGCCCCTTTAGAACCTATCTGCACAGGGCTCTAATTGCCTGAATGACTGAACTTGGGGAAATATTTCCCTCTGTCACTCTGAATGAACCAGCCATCCAGGGGCTGTCTTCTCAAACAAAAGCTTTCCAGTTTTGCATCCTTGAATCTATCAAGGATCAGATTTTGCCGATTCCTGATATACTTTTGTGTCATCTTTTTAATTGTCCTGATTTAAAATATTTGTCTTTTATTTTTAATTAAATCTTCCCAGCAGTCATACTCTCCATAGCCTTAAATTTGTAGGCACTTCTTTTCTGATGAAACTTCAAAATTTCTAAATTATTCAGCTATATCATTTATTGCTGATTTTTATTGCAGATACGCCTAAAATCTCCTAGCAGTACTCACACCAGAATCTGAACATTGGGCTGTCTTGAAATTTTTTCCAGCAGATTAATTAGCTTGCTAAAATCTGCTAGTCGTACTCAGACCATAATCTGAACACTGGGCTTTCTTGCAATTTTTTCCAGCAGATTAATTAGTTTGCTGCTCTTAATCTGAGTATCCTGCAAAGTCTCAGAACATGAGCAAAATATATGCTACTTTTCTGCCAGAGCATAGCATAAATGGCTTCTAGTCCAACTGCCAAAGGACTCCTTGTTCCCAACCTAAACCTCCTCTACTGTGTGCATTTCTATCAGCACTCTGGTGTTCAAAGCTCAGATCAGAATCTTCCGTGAAGCTCAGCTAATAGCTCTTTAGGTTTTTGTCTAGCTGATGTCTGTAAATTTTTCCAAACACTTCTCACAAAGTCTTGTTAAATCTTTTAAACCACATAGTTAGATACAGTCTCAGTAACACACACTTCTCTGGCATCAAAAAAAATCTTAGTTTACTTTCTTTTCACTGAGACAAAATACCTAACACTAGCAACTCAAAGGAGGAAAGTTGTACTTTGGCTCATGTTTTAGTCCATGTTTGGCAGCCTGCAAAACATGGCAGAGGAAAAGGTACTCAGTCAATGGAAACCAGAAAGCAGAATAAGAAAGGTGAAAGGAAGGATATGAATACATCATTCCAGGACACATCTCCAGTGACTCACTTAAATCAAGCCTCACCTCTTAATACTACTTTCTGCTACTGAACTCATCATTGAATGAATCCACTGATAAGTATAGTATCTGCCCAATTCATTTTCCACACACATGAGAATTTGGGGGGAAATTTTTGATCTAAACTATAAAAAAACACTATTCAAGATATTGAAGTTCCAGGTGTGAATATTTAAACTACTTTCCTTCATCTGTCTCAGAGCTGTACTTATAGAGTATATTTAACAATATCATCACAGAGCATAGTCATTTTTGCAGGGATTACACATTGAATTGTTCAACTATAGATTCCCAATATTTATTTTGGTTTTTATACTGTATAGAACTTAAGTTCAAGATTTATGTAACTTTGGTATATTTTTCTTACAGCTTTCTGCTCGCTGGATATAGAGTGCTTAAAACATAGCACTCAATTATAGAATTTGGAGTACAGGGAAGAAGAAAACACTTAAGTTTTTTAAAACTTTCTTTCACTATTGCCCTTCACTTTAAGCACATTTCCTTTATCTACACAGAGAATGCAAATAGAAGAAAGAAACCGTGGGAAAAAATAAGCAGGTTTTAGAAGTCTTTGAATATTTTCAAGGAGAGTTTGAAATAAAAGAAACCACAAATAGCGATGTTGCCTAATTCCTTTTTCAAGCCTTCTCTATTCATTATCTTGAACGATCGTGTTCAAAAGCAAGGCAGAGTACTTCCAGTTGCCCACTGGACCACTGTAGGCTCTTTAGAATGGACCTGATGGACAACTGCCATGTCACTTGTTCCTCTTCCAGCTTCAGGGTCTTCTTACTTTTCCAAGGGAGAGTGTCACTTACGATCTTCATCCCACTTACATTTTTATGCTGTTGTTTCCCCTTCCTGGAATAATGTACTCACAGGTGTCCACTTACTCTCTGCCTTGTACATGTCTTTGCTAAAAGGGCACTTTCTTAATGAAGTCTCCCCAATTCTCCCACTGCCAATGACATCCACCCCTGCCCTGTTTTTCATCACCCTTTTCTCCAGTCCCCTATGCTCTTCTATAAGTTTGGTGATTTAAAAATATAATATATACAGAAATTAATATGTTTATTGTTGGGAGGGCTTGCTAAATGGCAACACATTTTTAACTGAGAGAATATTTTAAAGTAAATTTTGTGATACTGAGGACTAAACTCAAGGCCTTTACTCCTCCATCCCCCTTTTTTTATCCTAAGGCAGTGCTACATCTTGCTACAATTGTCCTGTGGGATGGTTTTTGCAACAAATTATATAATGTGTAGGATTATGATCTATTTTGATTTCATCACTAAAATTGCAAAAGCTTATGTTAAGAGGAAAAAGACATTTGTATGTTTGGTCTTAAAAATACATGTTACAAGTCAAAAGAAGTATGTGTGTGTGTTGATCTCAATGGAAATTACTTTGTATAAAAAATTAGCATACAAAATATAATGAAAAATAATTTTCTTGAATAGAAAGAACAAATACTATAAGATGATAGAATGAAGAGACAATCTACAGAATAGAAAAAATACTCACTATTCCTTGGGTAAAGCATATCTAGAATATATAAAGTACTCAAAAATTTGAAATTAGACATCAGGATATAAGTCCCAATCAAAATGGACAACCATGGGCTGGGGATTTTGCTCAATGGTTCTGGCATCTGCCTTGCAAGCACAAGGTCCCAAGTTCGATCCCTGGTACAAAAGAAAAAAAAAAAAAGAAATACTCAATATTGCTGGCCATTATAGAAATGCAAATTAAAACTGCACAGAGATTCCATCTTACTCCAGAAAGATTAGCTATCATCAAGAACACAAATAATAACAAACCCTGGTAAGGCTGCAAAGAAAAATGAACCCTTTAACATTGTTGGTGGGGATGTAAACTAGCATAACCATTATGAAAACGAGTATTGAGAATTCTCAAAAAAAAAAAAAACACGTAGAAATTCCAGCTATTTCCATTCTAGAATCTTCCTGAAAAAGTTAAAGGCATCATATTACAGGGATACATGCATACCCATGTTTATAGCAGCGCAGCTCATAATGGGTAAATCTTGAAAAATTCCTATGTCCATCAACAGATGAATGGTTAAAGAAAATGGTGTTTATGCACAGTGAAATAATACTACATGACAAAGAAAGATAAACTTGAGTCATTTATAGGAAAATCGATGCACCTCAATATCATAATGTTAAAAGAAATAAATCATATGCATGAGCTTAAATATTGCATGGTTTCTCTTGTGTGAGAAATATCTGTATTTACTGCCTTAACTTGTAGGTTTAGTGAAATAATATAGAATACTCTTTAGTGATCTAATGATTTTTTTTAACAGGTCTCTAAACTAGCTGGTGTTTTGGTCAAGTATGGTGTCAGAAAAGGTGACACTGTGGTCATCTACATGCCCATGATCCCACAAGCAATGTATACCATGCTGGCGTGTGCAAGGATAGGAGCTATCCACAGTCTCATATTTGGGGGATTTGCATCTAAAGAACTAAGTAGTCGCATTGATCATTCAAAGGTAGGTGTTTTCTCTGGGGAAGTGAAGTTGTGGCTACCCACAGAATAGCCACACTAACCTATGAAGAGATCTATCAAGAATAATTTTACATTTTGATCTTCCTCATAAATAGGATGCTTACGATTTACTTTTTCTTTAATGTGTAAGCATTAACCCAATGTTTATTTTTGAGTTAGTTCTATTTTTGAATTAGTTAATGAAAGGAATCTTTCTCGGCAACCACTGAGCTCTGCTATTATAGCACATAGCTTTAGAAATTGCACAAACAAATGGTTATGTCTATTTCTTATTAAGACTGTACCAAAAGATCCCTAATTAAGGAAATATATTCTGAATTAGAAGAAGAATTTTCTTTTTGGTTTGGTGGCTAAAGAAGGATTTCCAAAAAAGGAGATGACTGAATTAAAAATCTTGGCTAAGATTCATATAGTTTAAAAGAATGATGTAGTGGATCCTCAAATGTAGAAAGAATACAAATCAAAAATTAGAGGCAGGAAAATGTAATTCTCTTTTGGGGGAGCAGCCATCAGATTGGGGTGACAGGTGAGCTTGCAAAGGGAGGCTTTGTCTGAGCTGTAGACAAATCAGTGAAAACATTTAAGCAGGAGTGCCAAGAATTTAGGTTTAAAGACTGCCAAGAATTGGAAAGCTTTCTAAATGACATGCATGAAGGAGAGGCTAGAGGTTGAGGTAAGAACCTTTGGCAAGTGGTATGTTTGTAAAACAATAGGAAATATCAATAATAAAATGTTATATAATTGAAGAAGTTCTCATATATATTACATGTACACACAAACATATAGCCTTGTTAAAGAATTTAGTCAATAAATGCATGATCTTCTAGGGAAAGACACATCAAATGTAAGAAAAGATGGAGATAGAGACACAAATCTGAGATATTTAGAGAAAACTAATATTTGAATTATGAATTTTTAAGTTATGATTTAAAAATATATAGGCTAAAGGAAGATGAGGAAAGAAGTCCATGATAGGAAGAAGAGGTGGCTGACCTTTCGAGGTTTGCAAGCCTGAGATAAAACATTCTTAACAGAGCAAGGGTAATAGTGTATGTGGAAGTTTCCCCGGTGGGTTTGTATCTTATTTCATCAGGTAATAGACCAGATATTAAAAGTAGGAAGCTGTTTTGTGAACTGAACACCTGAGATATTATTTTAAAAATCATGTTGAATTAGTGCTTATGAAGAAAATCTAGGGGGAATTATTGATCTGTTACTTACCCGCAAATGGATAGCAAGCTGGTGACTTCTCTGGAGCTATTGACTCCAGAAATTCTGACAAAGATATTATATGTGTTACTTCTCCTTCAAAACATTTTGTAAGATATGAGGAAATTTAAAGAATATATAGGAGGCTCCATTTGTAACATACACTCAAATCTACGTAACTTTCTTTAGGAACTTAGTTAATAACTACACAGTTTTATGAGCAAGGCTACTGGGCAGATCAAATTTAAGAAGAGAAGATGGAGGTAGAAACACACATGTGAAATATTTCAAGAAAAGTAGTAAATGAAGTTTTTGTTGTGTCATAATTCTTAAATAGGCTATAAAATATTTTTACTTTAGCAGATATAGATGGAAAGGATACGTTCTCACAAATCGATGTAGGCCCTCTAAAAACTCTAATGAAATGCTATTAATAGAAATCTAAAACAGATTATTTTTCTGGAAGACTTTATTGCATTATTAAAGTTCTGTTATGTTCCATATAGTTTTATAATTTGCTATTTAATCTTACCTTCATTTTTCTAGACATCTAATCTTACAGAATATTATCTAGAGCTAATTTGCAAGTACTGAAGATATTAAAATGTATATTACATTCAAATACTATCTTTAAAACATAAAAAATGAAGATAAGACTTACTTCTGTTTCTTTTTAGCTTGATGTAGCAGAATGAGAAACATTCTGCAGTGTGATAGACTGGTCCTCTCTCTGTCTCCACCTCCTGTAACCTGGGCCAAGCTATATAAATGCGCTAAATTGCATTCTATGAATATTAAGTGTAATTCAAAAGCAAAAAATACTGTATATGTACATTTTTTTCCATAGATGAAATGTCTGCTAACCAACAATCAGAATTCAAGAATAGATGCAATATAATGGATTGATAATCTGTCTCTTGAATTATTTATTATATGTTTCCTTTACTTTGGATTTCTTGTGAAGAAACACTACTTTAAATAATAGACATTTTGTTCCTGCAAATTAATATGTACTTTGCTTCACTTCCACACTTTTTATTGAGAGCTTATGATATAACAACCACTTTATGAGTCAGAGGAGACACAAAAATAAATGACATCCAAACTTGACTTTGGAGGAGCTTGAAGTGCAGTAGTGAAGAGCAATATGCATGTTGACTAGAGATGAATATCTGAAGCATGTTCAACACTTATCCAGGAGGAGAGGTTAACCCAAATGATGTCCCTGCCAGGGACACCTTATGGCCACACCTACATGTCTTGAACAGTGATTAGCAAGTTGTCAGGTTAAGTAGCATGCTGCGTGCATCTTATGGACACAGACATGCCCACACTTTGTAAGCTTGAAACTTAAGTCATTTGAGCATTCTTTTAAAAAATATAAGATTGTAAATATAATATTCTGTGAGCATTCTCATGTATTTAGAACAAGAAAACCAGTCAGAAAGGAGTATTGGAGATTTAGATCCTTTCTTCTGTAAACTCTTATGGCATTTAAAAGAGACACTCTTACAAAAGTCTTAGAAGTGCTTCTAAGCCTGGTGTTCTTCCCATAAAAAAAAGCTATAACTTTAGCAGCAACCAGCTTTTAGGAGTGTGTGTGTGTGTGTGTGTACACGTGCATGTGTCTTTGCTGCTGAGGGCCAACACGTTTATGTGTAATTGGATCATGGCAAATTCACCTGGCTTACCAAGCCTTTTTAGAAGGTATTTTGCATAGTGCATATCTATGAGGACAAAACATCACGAGTGTGTAATTTTGAACAGGTGAAATTTATGTGGAAGTGATTGTTTATAACATTTTAAAAGGGCTTATTGGTTTTCAGATAATTTATTCAATAGAGAATGAAATTATTCTAACATTTAAACTTCCCATCTGTGCCTGAAATATTGTGATTAGTTTAATTAGGATTATTAAATCTTTCTTGCTCTCTTTTTTTTCATTTTAGCCCAAGGTGGTTGTTACAGCCTCATTTGGCATTGAACCTGGAAGGAAGGTAGAATACATCCCACTTATAGAAGAAGCCCTAAGAATAGGACACCACAAGCCAGATAAAGTTCTCATTTATAGTCGTCCAAATATGGTAAATTAAATATTTAATTTGGTTCTTGTTTATGGTACTGCAGTAAGGATGATTCTCGTCCTATTTAAAAGAGACACTTAATTGATAAACTGGTGAATATATATCCTGAATGTTTTTGTTATTTCTAGAAAGAAAGATATAAATAACACTTACTGTCTTTATGAAAAGTAACTTAAAATATATAAATTGAAATATCAAAATATATTACTATTAATAAATTCAGTTTTGTTGTGTTGTTACTTTGAGTTTTATAATAATCAACAAATACTAATTGACTGCATACTATTTGATGTTTAAGAATCTCTAATAATTTTGACCTGATGACCACCTTAGTTTTACACACAAGCAAGTCCTCAGCTATTAATGATGGGGTCAAATTGTGTTCTTTGAACAATAAAATATTTTTGTGAAAGAGAAATTATGAGAGTGCAAAGAATCATGTCCGATTGTGGGAAATTCCTGAGAGGTTATCTGCAGAAAATACATGATAGGATAAGAGTGCAGTGTTGAAACTACGTCGTTTTGATTAGCACCCAGCAATTTCCATTACCACGTTAAATTCCTGGGTAGAGATTTAGTAGTGTGTAGTTCATAAACTTCTGTACTCAAATGATTTTAATGTCCTTACTGTCTTGAAGAAGAAGTCTAAGTTTTTTTTCAGATGACCACAGTCATGTTTTTTTGACAGACTGTTGCTATTAAAATCAAGGAATACAGTGAGCAACAAAAAAGTTCTCAGGTAAGAGAGGATAGTGGAATAGAAGAAACACATGCAAAAAAGCATGCTTGAGTGTCTGTATGCTGTTCAAATGCATATGGATTCATGTAGGATTTATAAAGAACTTATGATAGGCTGAGCTCAGTGCTATGCACTATGAAATGCTTTCTTAAATGTAGTTTTCACAAATTCATTGTATTTTATTTATAAAGAAACTCAGCCGTGAAGCAGCCAAAGTACAAAGCCCAGCTACTATGTGGTATTGCCAAAATTTAATTCTGGTTTGATGACTTTTGAACAAAAAGGTTTATATTATTTCTTTCACTCTATAAACACATGGTGTAAGGATATTAATGTTTCCTATTCAGACTTTTTCAATGTATGCCTCTTTTTCTTTCTTCTTAATAGAGATATGCTTTCCCCTGCTCAACCCCCAGCCTGCAACTAGCTTGCTAAATCTATCTCCCTCCTCCTTTCTTCTCCAGATTCTTTCTTCTATTGTGACACAGATGAGGGCTTTGAATGACTTTGCCCTTTATGTGAGACCTACTGTTTAGGCAGTAATTAAACCCAGTTGATTGATTTGCTTTGCATTTAGAGAGACAGAAATTAGGAGGCCAATGCATCTCATTAAACAAGATTGCATTTTTGCCAGAGGAAGTAAAAACTTGGCTGCTACTGTGAAGCCTCAGGCAAGCAATGACAGAATCAAGAGAATGTCACATCAGTCACTCTGGTACTCTCCCAATACAACCTTTAGAAAATTGTAACAACTAGGAAAGACGAGCTATAGAAGTAAATGCATTTATGTAAAAGCTAAATATTGACATTTCTTTCCATTCATTTGGTCAGATGTTTATTTATACATACAATTCTTACAATAGAGAATCAACACTCATTCAAGTCTTTCCTCAGAGACTTATAAAAATCCCAGATCTCTAAATTTTTGTGACCATTCAATTTTTTCATTTCACACCAAGATTATATTTATAGGTCTCTAATTGTCATGTCAAAAAGTTTGATAATTTATAATTAGTTGTTTTTATCTCATGAATAAAAATAAATGAAAGTTTGATTTGCTCCGAGCTTACTATTGCTACTTAATCAAATGGCATCAGCTAGTGCCTATCAGAGTGGGGCTAGACAGGCCTCTAGGCCTTACATTTCACCTTGTCATCAGTTCAGGTTGTTATCTATGAATGTGTTCATTCATGTAGGCATTACATTTGTGATATAATATTAAAGCATTCATTCATAAATATACCTATGCAAATAGATGACCAGGTTTACAAACTGATAAACATACTAGAGAGCCACTATCTCCTCATCTTTGTGCTTAGCTCAAGGATCACCTTGATGAAGGAATGGTTACATACATTCTGATTGGTGGACCTCACTAATTTTACTAAGGAATGGAGAGCTCAGTTGTGCCTTTGTTAACGTGTTAATCAATCATTAACCTCTTGATGTGTGATATTGATCTTAATATTTCTGGAAACAATCAGATACTTAATGGGTATTAACTCTACTCGGACAGCTGTGATTCTTCATTAGAGTGACTTCCTTAAATCACTTCTTCACTCTTCATCTTTGTGGCAATTTCAGAGCCACTGTTTTTAGAGACCAGTTTAATATATTTAAAGGTGTACCTGTTTAACTGGTGACTCTGTTATCCCAAAATTTATAACACAGAGCTTGGTTCTCAGAAAAAAAAAAAAAAGAAAAGCTGTGTACCTGTTTAACTGGTGACTCTGTTATCCCAAAATTTATAACACAGAGCTTGGTTCTCAGAGAAAAAAAAGAAAAGTATTTCTATCACATTAATTGATGACCTGGAATGAGGAAAATTTAGACAGCATTTTGGATGTATCACAATGATTTTAAAAATTGGTTAGTGTTCTTGAAAAAGAAAGAGTAAAATTGTCCTTTAACACTGAGGATAATTTGACATTCTCTCATTTGGCTGCAATATTACTCCCAACTGTCCTGATATGAAGAGAAATTTAATAGGTTAGTTGACATTTCATCATGAAGTCAGAACTTCTAAAACAAAAGAAATAGGATACAAAAAATGGAAGTTAGTGTATAAAATTCTCACTGCACATTCATCTATGCAAACATGAAACTCTGTGCTAATTAAGCCTTGAGTGTTGAAGGAAACATAACTGTATCAGATTAAATTTCTTACAGATATCCCCAGATTTGCATAAAACATGTTCCTGTTGTCAATTCAGTTGAAGCCTGCATCACACTACTGGGACTTTTTGTAAAGATTCATCTCAACTCCCAACCTTGAGATTTTTAGTCATAAATCCAATGTTTAGTGCCACACAAATGTTGATTTTTCAACCAGATGTTTTGACTTATATAAATATAGCTACTCTCTGTTGTCCCTTGACTTAACCTTCTTTCTACAGTGCATGTTTTCTGTAATTTGTTGTGTAGGAGGAGGTTCCTTTGGTTCCAGGTCGCGATCTTGATTGGGACAAAGAAATGGCAAAAGCCCAGTCACACGATTGTGTTCCTGTGCTCTCAGAGCACCCTCTGTATATTCTTTACACATCTGGAACAACTGGGTTGCCTAAGGTATGCACACTCTTAGGGATAACTATCTATAAGAATGCATTTCCTTCGCACCGAGAATATCTCATTACTGACTTGTAATGCTCACCGATTGCACCTTGATGCTTAGACATAGGTTATAGCATAAAGAAATTTATTCTAAGCATGTGTTTAATTTTGTGTTTAATTTATGTATCTACTTTTGCAGCAATGGGGATCAAAGTCGGGACAAAAAAGCATGAATTCTAAATGAGATTAAATTATTTTTAAAAATTGAGATGTAGCTTCCTTATTATGGAATGATTTTTGATCTAGGAGAATTTGATTCTTTGCCATAATTGCATTTGAGAATTGTTCTTGAGAATTTGAATAATAGCTATTTATCCAGAGTATTGAACTGTTAAATTTAAAATGTGGAAGGTAGTCAATAGGGTTTTTTGTTTGTTTGTTTTGAGACAGGTTCTAACTATGCAGTTCAGGTTGGCCCTGAACTCACTATGTAGCCAAGTTTGCCCATGAATTGGTGGCAATCATTCTGCCTCAGCCTCTCGAGTACTGGGACTACAGGCATGTGCCACCAAGCCCAGCCAGTACACAACAGTTTTAAATCTGCTTAGTATGAAAGGTGCAAAGCAAAGTTAAAAGCATCAGTATTCATAAATGTTTCAGGTATCAATAAATACTACCTTTGCCTGGTATTCCAAATGATATTGTTTCTTTATATAACTTCACAAGTATAATTTTTCTTACTCATCTTTATTAGACGATTCAGTACTTGTTGAATCATAGCATTTCACTAGAGGAAGAGAATTTCACAATCATTTGCATCACTGTGAACAGAATACCTATTATTATTAGATTTCTGGAGCATCAGAATTCTGAAAATGTATTTTCTTAATTTTAGTTACTTTAAAAGTTAATATAGTTTTAAAAGGAAGTTGAAGACATTCCATTGAAATTTGCTTATTGAAAAGAAAATCTTTGACAAGGGAATATGACCTCACCATGGCTAGAGATCCTTTTATTACATTTTGTTCTGCCATCATGTTTTGTATGGAGTTGGGAGTCAGTAAAGTTTCTTCAATGTATAAATGAATATAAACAAATACATAAAGGTACTTGTTTTAACTGAGGTGTTGTGATCGATAGAATTCTAGTCCTTTAGTTACTAAATATTTGCTATGCTGAAGGCTGAGATTTGTTTCTTTAAACAATCCATGCATTTTTCTGATACAATTTTCACCTACCAGATTTTGCCATTCACCCACCACATGGTGTTCAAGTTAACATTTGACAATAAAATAAAAAAGGGGCCAGGCACTGTGGTTTATGCACAATTTTACCCAGCATTAAGGTACGCTGAGTCAGGAGACTTGCAAGTTTGAATCCTGCTAAGGCAACTTAGGGAGACTCTGTCTCTTAAAAAAAAAAATTCTGGATATGTAGCTCTGTTATAAAGAGTGCCCTGGGGTTCCAGCCCCAACACTATAAGTAAATATATAAGAAAGAAAACTCAGTAAATGAAATACACTCTAAAAGTATTAAAATGAGAGGAAATGCTGCATCTGAAAACATAGTATAACTTATATTTAAAATATATATAAAAAAATCAAATAACAATTTTACCTTCTTAAATATCTCAGGAAATCTTATAAAACGTTTGTTTCATCTCAAGACTTTAAATTGCTTTGAAATTCCCTGGAACCTGAATTGGGACCTG